CAGACGTGTGCTCTTCCGATCTCCCCAAAACCCCAAAACCCCAACAATTTTATTGTAACTCATTTTATTTGAAAGAAAGATAAAAGTTAAATTAATTATTTCAAAATGGTTGAAGGAGCAAAGTCTTAAAAATATTCGTATATTTTACTATAATGACTGTTATTTTAGAGATGTAAATGTTCTAGGTAAAATGATTGGAGATAAGGAAAGCTAAATTAAAAAACTGTAAGTAATCTAAGTTCAAATTGCAACGAATTCTGTGACAATATTTAGATTTTATATAATTCGAAATGATAATAATTCTTTTGATATAGTCATGATGAAGTTTATGGGTTGAACGAAAAATATAAGAATCAAGAAAAAGATAGAAACGATGTCATTGAACGTTTAACTCGTGAAAACGAAGAGAAAATGAAAGTTTTAATTGATTTGGAGACTAAAATTCAGACTCTAGAGAAGAAAAACGAGAAAGAAAATAATGAAATTGTAACGAAGTACTAGAACCAGATCAAGGACATGACTAAAAGAGGTTAAGAGAAAATAGTTGAAAACGATACTAAGATTAATGAACTTAGAGAAGAAAGAAATAACATGGATGATACTTATAAGAAAAGAATTTACTTTGAAACATAGCTGCAGCACTGGAGGAATCAGTGTAACTCCATTTAGAAGGTCATTTAGGATGAGAAATACAATATACAAATTGAGTAAGCAAAGATGAAAAAGGCAATTGAATCAGAGTACAAGGAAAGTCTTGAGAAATTTAAGGCTCAGGCTTAACTTGATGCAGAGAGGAGTAAGCATATTTGGAAAGTTTTCAGAATTAATAACAAATATAGATATCTAGGATATTGAGAGGAATATTCATCATGAAAACTAAAAATTAACTGAAAAAACAATGTCTCAGAGGTACTCCTTAGATTATTACAAGAGAGAAAAATAGAAAATGGCCGATGATAATAAAACATTCAAAAGGGATATGATGTTGAATCTTGGAACCGCTGACTAGTATGACTAAAGAGGAAAAAATCAATAAAAGAAGATCAAAGTTTTGAAAAGCAAAATTTAAATCCTTGAAAAGTCTTTGGCCTAGATTGTTGAAGATTTTGAAAAAGAAAAAGAACTTGTGAGATTTTAGCATGAACAAATCATAAAAGAATAGAAAGAAGAGATCCTAAGTAATTCCAACATTTTTATTAGTAAATTTTTCTTTTAGATTTAAGAGAGATAATGAGAAGCAAGAACTCAGAAGCAAAGAAAGTTAAGGCATTATCACAAGTCATTCTAGATTAAAGAAGCGATGTTGAACAGTTTTTCTTAGAAGCTTTAGAATAAATCAAAGAAGAAATCAGAAAAAAGATTGCTATTGAGAGAAAACAAAGAAGATTAGGCCAGACAATGGGAACTACTCTTCCAGGAGTTGAACCTGAAAACTCTAACTAGCAGACTTAAAATTAAAGCAAGTCTTATGCTGATAAAGTTGATCTTAATGATCTTGATTGGGAGGACAGAGAGCGTGTACTGAGGCTACTATTTTCCAAAATGAATGCAGGAGTACCAGGAAATGTCTCGAACAGTTATAATGAATAATAGGACAGTGCTGGTTTTAACAAGCAAGCAAATAGACAGAGTGCAATTACTGGAGGAAGCTAACTACCTGCAATCTAATACGAAGAGGAACAGTGAATGAATAGAGAACTTTGAATGAATTTAATAATTTTATATTTTATTAACTTAAAAATAACTAAATCTTTTACTAAATTAATTGTCCATTAAAAATTTTTTCAGATCCAAACTTAAGTATAGCATTTTGCAACATTAATTCAAATATCGCATACTCGTCCACAAGTCGAAATTAAAACCTACTCTCAAAATTATTGGAATCAGTATTAAGCTTATGATTCATTTCTTAAACATTGCTTATACAGCCATCTCATCAACCATATCGTAGCTATATAAAAATAAGTCATCTTTAAATTCCTTTCCAAGGCAAAACATTCTGATATTCTCCACTTTCAGGGCATTATCATTTATTGCATTTATGTATTTTTATTTGAATTGTATAACAGAATCCCAATTCGATGCCTTCAGTACACAATCTCCCTTTGATGATCTTACTTTCAAAGCCTATTGTAAGTTTTGAAAATTAAGGCAGCTTACATTATACAATTTTTCAGGGGGTTTCGCTTTTCCTTTTAGTTTTTCATCCTAGAAGTTTACACTGTAATTCATTGGTTCATTAATGCAACATATTGGAACGCGATAATATACACCATTCTCATCTATTACCAGTGTTAGTGAATTCTAAGGCATTGTTAATCCTGTTGCTAGGATCAATGCTTCAGCAGTATCGTGAGTCTCCGAGCATGCATTTCTAAGTAACTACCATATATGAGAGTGACCTTGTGTTCTCGTCTCTATATTAAGTTAGACATTATATGGAATTTCATAATCGTAGAATGATTAATTATTGACGTATTCTGAATGATTATAACCAAACTTACCCCAAAATTCTTATCTCCACTTATTTAATTCATGAGAAGTTAGCGGAGTTTCATAGGCTGGCGTTCTTTTTATTCCTTCTCCTGATACTTATCCAGCTATTACTTTTTCTACAAAATTAATGAATTCAAAACATCATACCAACACCTGGATTTTATAGATAAGTAATTCTAGCAGCATTCTAAGCAGAATTTTAATTTGATTAAGAAGAATTGGGCATAGCAGGAGGCGGAAGACTTCTTCTAGGTCTTTCCTCTTGACTTCTCTAAGATGAGGCATTTTAATGAGGGTTAACAGGATTTCCATTTACATTGACGAATGCTCTCTATTCATTTTGACTAACACAGCAACCCATTTTCGATTTAATTATTCAAAATTCAAAGAATATTTGATTAAACTTCCTGTATTGTTTAATTTCTTAATTAATTATCATATACTTATTTTAGTTTCACGGGGTTTTGGGGTTTTGGGGTTTTGGGG